GTGGGTCGTCACCATCGACTTTCTCTTATGCTCCAACACACAGTTGCACGGGGTGCAGAATAGTTTCCCCCCACTTTCGTGAAAGACATCCGGGTACTGCTTTGCCCGGTCTTTAGCAGAAATGTTCGTCGGTAAATGAGATGGATCAGATTTTTTCATCTTGGTGTTTTCTCTCTCATGTGAGTTCCACACGTTCATTCTACGGTGTTGTTTACCTTCTGTGATGCGTGAGCTGACGACGTCACCTCATCATCATCTCTACTTCACGTCAAGACGAGTTAACTTTTTTTCCCTCAACTTTGTGTGGAAAAATGCGGGGAATATGCGGCCTTTTGATAAATATGCGGCCTTTTAAAAATCAGCGCCATTTTGCTGATTATGCGGTAAATTCTGCGATCGCAGAATCGCGTTTTTCTGGAGGGTCTAATTGTCAGACTTTATCAAAGATTAGCCATCTAAGCTGCACTTGGTAAGACTCAGCTGTACCGACTTGCATATAAATATTGAGCTTTTTAGTACCGTGAAAGTGTAGTGTTTATGAAAAAACAAGATGTATTGGCTGACTATTCCAGTTGGCTCTACTAGAATGGCTCTATGGTGTTGTTTGATCTTCACCTAATTTGAGAGCTTTTGAAACATGTTGAAGAATTAAAACTACTGGGAACAAGTAATATCAACACTGAGCAAACGCAGCTGAATTCCTCACAATCCTCACGATGGAGGGATACATAAAACACACAAAAAAATGATCACTTTTATTTTGGAGAAATGTAATAATGGTTAAGTTCCACTAAAAGCCTCTTAAATCTTTCCGTGAAAAATGTACCTTGGCCAAGCAGCGTCTATCTTCACTGCAGCTGATATTGGCACTTCCCCATCCATCTGACTGTAACCCCTGATCTGCGGGTGTTTTTGACAAAATCTGGGAGAAACAATATCACTTTATATCGAATTCAAAACGCAAGTGATTTGGCACTGCCAGGATGACATATTTCTATTCTGACATTTAAGTATATTACACATAATGATGCACTTCCCAAAAGATAAATACCGATTTGAATGAAATGAAGAGTTGTGTGGCCATTCTCTGTCCAGCTGTGGTGGCAGGCAGGCAGACTACTGTACTTTTATCCCACTTCCAGTCAATGTATTTAAAGGAGATTACAGATGTGATCCAGACAAAAGGGCAAACTCCCTGGTACTGTCTGACTGGTTGTCTGTAGTTGGGCAGAGAATAGATCTTGAGGTTATAATCTAAATTAATATGGATTGTATTGTCACTTTCATCCATAGACAAAGATAACAGAAACACAATGTACTTTGTGGTTTTAATTTTGGTCAGAGTTAGGAGAAGTTTCCATCTGCCTGACAGTAATTCAAAGTAGATGCCACATCCAGCTGTGCTCCAAACCCTGTTTATTCAAGTACTCTCCTGTTCAATTCAAACATTCCCTGGTTTGTATGTTTCCATCAAATGAGAGAGAACTTTGCCCAATAAATATGCTTTTGAATGTGTTAGCTAGCTGCCAGTCATGGCATGCATCACGTCTGAATAATGTTTTAAACAAGATTGAACCGTCTTGATCTCTTGTTCTGCCTGGGGGCTGTATTAGCAGCAAACGCAAAAACACGTCTGAAGCATAACGTAGCATCACTCTTCAATGAAACTGTACACAATCCAGAACCACTGTCTTTATTTTCTCTACTCGCATATACTTTTAATTTGAACCTGACTTTTACTGGGCTTCATAGACCCCAAGGCCATGGACATTTATCAGCACATGAAAGCAATGTTCTAAAGGAGAAAATACTTTGACATGCAAAGATAAGTCTTTCAGGTCACCAGTAGTACAGTCGCTGTTTTTAGTGCATGCCGGTGAGAATCAATCTCAGGTTGTTCAGAAGTCCACAAGGAAGGCTGAGACAGAGCAGTGAAGAAAAAACAAGGGTTTCTTCAAATAGTATTCAAGCTTCAAGAACAGGTGCAGCTCCCCCTTGTTTTTAGATTGAATTCTTACTGGCACCTAACCTCTGACTTCTGGCCTCTGTTTACAGGATTTTGTGCCACTAATTATTGTTAAGAAAACCTTACTGATTTGAACTCAATAATGGCTGGTTTACTTCCTGTATCACCACCGTCCTAAGTACTCAAGTAGTCCATACAAATACCAGTTAAATTCCACTAGTTTTAGACACCAATACCACGGTATAGCAACAAAACAATAAATCCCATCTACTTGAACAAACCCTCCTTTATTAAAAACATTTGAGCATAAGAAAACATGGAACGTGTCCTAGGTTGAAAGTGTTCTGTTTTTCATTTTTGACTATTCAAGGGGGGGGTTGCAGCTGTTATTGTTGAGCTCTTTAACAAGGTGTTGTTCTGTGCTGATAGACGAGGCATTTAACGGAACACTTTTAGGCAGATATGCTGCCCTCGTGTCTCAACAAATATTATATTGCTCCCCTTCAGAATAGACTTTAAAATAACTAAGGGGATCCCCTGTCACTTCATTTGTCCAATACACATTTGGTGTATGAGAAAATGATGACTGTAATTTTTGTATTGCCACTTAGCAAATGCTCACCCACAAAGTCATGTGTTTGAAAGCAGCGCTGTGCCAGCTTCACAGATCTGTTAGCTTGGCTGTAAACTCTTCCTGTTACATTAATTGGTTCCTGCATCCACACTTGATGATATTGGACTTGTATTCCTACTTGGCAATTCTTTTGAATTCATTAATATAGAACAAGTTGTACCTTGTAAACCACACAGGCACCTGGCAGCAAACATATGCTGGGTCCCCCCTCGCTTTTTCTCTTTTTGTGTGCTTTAAAAGTATCAAAGTTCCTCATCACCACTGACATCCTCATGGACTCTGCCAGATATTGTTATGGAATTTAAGAAAACATAGTTTAAAACATTCAAGCCCTGCCAAATGCCAAACTCTTTTATGGCTGGGTTCTTACTGCGGGATAATGTGGATGGCTGAGTTTCTGATGCTGGCAGTGTTGCAAGAAACAGGTCAAAATCTGTTTTCAGTCAGAGACAGGCTACAGTATGCAACTTCCTCACAGTCAACACGTATGCCTTTGTTGTGGTAGCTTGAGTTGTTTGTGGGTCTATTACATCTAAAAGAGGGTACTCCAGGTCTTTTTCTGCAAATCTTTGCACGCGTTCAAGTGTGTTCATTTAACTCATCGGGGGGTTTGTCCCATTTGTACTGTTTTGTCGAACTTCATTGTGCTTTATCTCCATGGGGAGAGGTCAAAAGACACTATGGAGACACGAGTCATTGCTTGTTTTGAACTTTGGCCAAATGTACTGAGCACCTGCCGGAACAATTTCAACTTTGAGCATATTAATCAGACAGGGCAAGTTCTTTGATCCGTTCCGGATCAAGCATTTGATACTGTTTTTTATTTTTTTTCTGCCAATATCACATATCTCTTTACCGTGTTGCAAACTGATGATTTGAACATACTCGTGTCTGCAGAAGCCTACATGAATGCCTTCTTTCTCTCAGACTGTGTCAAACATCAAATCTGTTGTAGTCTGAACATGTTAGACTTCTCTGCCTGCATGAATTATCTTTAAACATTCAACTAATGCTGAGAGTATTTGTCCTCATCTGTGTTTTTTTTCCTACCCCTTGCAGGAAGAGTGCTTCCTAAACCTGGAGGCTCCCATCAGCAGGGTCTGCGGTTATGACACCCCCTTCCCTCACATCTTTGAACCTTTCTACATCCCAGACAAGTGGAAGTGCTTTGACGCAATTAAGAAGATGATCAATTACTAAACCCCGTCAGGTAGGAAAGATCCGACAGCTTCCTTTGAAGGAAAATAGATTATGTCATTTAAAACACTTAGTGTATATAAATGCCTCTCAACCATTGCCCTATAATCTACATTATATATTCCAGTGATGTAGTTATGAAGACATGAAAACTAACTATGATCTGCCATCAGTAATAAACAAACATTATTCAACAGACAATTAAAGTACGTTTTTCCTACACGCTCTTTTAATTACCTATCTAATTTAATCCTCCACTAGTACATACAAGTTTGTTCTTACTTTAGACTCGTCCTCCAGGGACCTATGCAGACATGTCAGGTACATTTAAAATCAAGCACTACTCACCAAGTGTATTCATCCTACTCACCTTTAATTTTATCGCTGGAAAGTTGCACATTTAAATTTGACCATAAGGCTACACAACAAGTTTGCATACAGCTAAATATACATTGGTGCTTCAAAACACCTTGGATGATTGGAACATGAACCTCCTGTTGTATAGCCACCTTTAGGTAAACATATAATAATGATTAAGGTTAGGGCTTAAGTTCACCATTAAAAGATTAATAAATTGATACAAAATGTAATGCAAAAAAAAAAGAAAGTATTACATAAAAGAAAAGCGTTGCCAAGTCCAGTGGTGCATTAACTTGCTCTTCCGATGGTCCAGTTTCCTGTGTTAAGTGGATTTTGACTGACTCAAAAAAGAAGTTGTGTATTTGTATTGCTCAGAGCGTTTGAACAACATTTGAATACCAGTTTCCTGTCTGGAACCAAATGATCACATTATTCCAACGACACATGAATGCCCCAAGCTCATGAAGTTCATAATATTAAATCATAATTTTTGTATCTGCCCTATGGTGAGGATGTTTTTTTCTCGTGGCCCCATGCTACACCTTACTTCCAACATCCTGAGAACATAATCTCCTTGGCGTATATATACCCATAACACAAAGTTTCAAGATATTATTTTTCAACAGGGATATTTAGACCAACTCTGTGCATACGTGTGGCAGTCAGTCAGGCTATTAAAATGTTGCCTAAATATTGCTTTAATGTGAGGGGAGTCTTCTATGATAGCGAAGTCAACAGTCAGGGAAACAAATATGTTTAAGATAAAGCAAAGACTATCACTAAAATAAAAGTATAAAAAGATAGGAATATTCTGTGGTCTTGCTTTATGTTTATATTCATAAAAGGGTCAGATATTTCCAAACTTGCATATAAAGAATACAAAAAATATGTCTTAAGTTTAACCATTCATTAAGACCCTGTCCGTATTCTTCCAATGGCAGAGCCATTACTCTAAGAGCCAATAAAGCTTGCCAATGCAGGTCCACATTTTAGTTGGGAGTTACCTGGTGATAGGAAATAACTGCCTCCTAATAAGCACCATTGGGGACTTTCTGGCACCCAATGTGAAGATTGAGTGTTTTGCGGATTCTGAAGCATCTGCTTTGGGTGTATTCGCACCTGTACTTAGAGTCACCGACTTATAATCAGACCACCCAGAACTGATTTTAGTGCCAAGTGTTAACAGGGCCTTCATGTCATTGATATGCCCAATTTACTTGTGTAAAGCTCCCACTGTTCTCTCATACGGTAGGTATGTTATTATCTTTCATTGGTTACAGAAGTGTTGAATCATCCTTTGAGATGGGACAGTCAGTCTGCCAGACTCTTTCGTAATCCATTTTTAAGTGTCAGTGTCATCCTTGAGTTATAGCCATTGGAACGATGGCCTTGAATAACAACACAGAAGGAGCATTAATAAAAACGTTTAATTGAATCAGCACGCCGATTCTCATCTTCGCTTTTACTTTTATTATCCACGTGGACCGCCGAGTTATTACCTTAAACTTATTGAACCTCTCACCTCTTCCACAGCCAACTTCTGGTATCCCTGAACCCCAGGCTCTCTCCTTTCTCTCTTCGTTCATCATATCAGTGGAGATCAGCTGGGAAAAGACACTTTGTTGACCATCCAATCAGGAAGCAGCATCCAGATGGGCTCCATGTCCCCTCTGCATCCTGAAGACTGTTACATCAACTCTGCATTGAGGAACCTTGTTCTGTGGGAAGAAAAATAATGAATTGATCCACTCGTTATGGTGAAACTCTGCTTTGGGGTCGACATAATTAGATTTCCTCCTAAATAAATGGACGGATACTGTGGGGAAAACTGTATTTGATTGAATTTGTGGCTGCCTCTCTGTGCTGTTACCTTTTGATTTAACGTGTCCATTTTGCTGTACTCTTTATTAAGTTTGACATGAACTAACCTTACTGTACTAATATAGTGGATCTGTGGTTTTTAAAGAAAATAAAGTAATCAGAACTTTGTGAAAACATTTGGTTTGGCTATTTGCATTGCTTTACATTTGTTTGGAATTGGGATTGTACAGAAAAAAGTAAACATTTTCTGGGGTTTCCATTGGTCCTAGAGTTAGAGAAAAATATATACAACTTAGTCGTAGGGAAACCTTTACCTAAACCATAATGAAATCTGCCCATGTCACGTTGGAATTCTGCCCTTGCCTCAATGAGGAGATGCTGGCGCGAAATGAAAATGTGCTCAACACTACCAGCTTATATGTGTAGGGAAAACTCAAATGGCTACAAAGTTAATAAATCATTTTTATGAGGTTTGGAAATTTGACATCTTGTTGAACACATTTGATGCCTTAGATTTAGAACTCACATTTTTCAGTTATAGTAGCACTTTGATTTAAAGGTCCCATGTTTTGGCCATTTCTACTGATCATAATTCCATTGTTGAGGTCTACTAGAATAGATTTACATTGTGTACGGTATCCGCTGGCATGGCACTTGGTCTATATCAAGCATCCAGGGAAACACAGCGGGAAATCCACCTTACACTGTCCGCTCCGGGGGCCTCGCGGGCAGCTGAGCTGCTCAGGAGTCCACCCTGGCAGAGGGTGTGCCTATTGTTCTATAGCTGTGTGCCAATTGGTCCAGACTTAGTGACGTCAATAGGCCCCCGGAAGAAAAAAATGGAAAATGACAAATCTAGAACGAGGAGTTCTGCATGTATAGGCACGTATTTTCTGTGTTAGTTTTACTTGTTACAGGGTGTACTTTTAGGGTTTGTGACTTTGCAGACCGTTTACATGCAGAACAAGCGACATCTGGTAATAACCAGAACAGCATATGATGGGACCTTTAAACTTTCACATTTTTAAAAGACAGAAAAGACATAGCATTTTACAACATGGCCACTGTTTGAACTTTTGTCCTTTTTATAAAGTTTCCAGACTTTTCCATTTTATCTGTATTTCCATGAGAAAAAATGTTCTTCCTTGTTAAACTTCTTGAGACTCATGGAACCAATAGTGACCACTGCTGGAACCCAAACACATGTTTGAGAAATCACGAGTGATGGAAAAACTTTTACCTGAACAACAATAAAGACCACAGATCAAAAGTTTGAGTTGTATCCATGCCTCCATTTGAATGACGCTAGCAAGAAATTATAAACTGTTCGTACAGCTTGTGTTTCTTGGCATCTCTAGAAGCTGCATCACATTATAACAGCATTATGTGGAGTGACTATACTGAAAGAGTTATTATACTCATCAAAGGAAGGCTACAATTGTAAATCTGACCTCAAAGCAGGAAACAGGATCCAAATAAATCTCTTACTTTCTCTGGCTGACGAATCTGTACATCAGACAATTCCTTGTGTAAAAATGAAAGTTTTGGTTTCAGGGTGACCCAAACTGCCAGTCGCTTTATTCTTTTTGAATAATGATTCGGCTTATCACCAAACATGACAGAGCGCGTCTTGGGACCATGAGAATTATAAAGCAAAACTCAAATGTAATCTGACCATCACATTTTCAGGCATGGTAAAGGTCACCTATTATGCAAAATTCACTTTTTCATGTCTTTTATACATAAACATGTGTCCCCTCTGTGTAAAGAGATTGTGAAAGTTTCAGAAAAATAGATTTGCTCAATTTTTGTCCCGATCCATTTATATAAAAACCTGTCTGAAAATGAGCTGATCAGATGTTGGCCACTTTATGATGTCTTAACGATTTGTTTGGCTTGTGTAACCATTAGCCCATCACCAACAGACAGAGAATCAGCACTTGTGAAACAGGGCTGAAACAGAGGGGATTATGGGATGCTTCAATGCATGATCTTTTTGGTATTTTGAGACAAACACTTCAGAGACATATTTTGTATCTGAGACCTATAACATATTGATGAAAAACAGTATAACGTACCTTTAACCTGTTAGGCCCCAAACCTGTTTTTCAGGTTTCAGGCTCGAAAATGACATTCCCAGAACAAATTACCATATCTTCCCTTCTAAAAGGGTTAAATTAATAATCTTTTTTCTCAAAGTAATGATAAACCTGTGAGTTGGATGTAGAAAATTACATTACATTATTATTATTAATAGGTTAGCATTTTTCGCTCTGGGCTAATTCAGAGGGTCAGTGTTNAGGGTTACCGCCCCTTGAGGCACCTAAGACCTTGAGACCACAGCTCCCCCGCCGAGGCTTTGAACACCGCCCACTCTGGTTCAATGTCCCCAGCCTCCAAAGGGAAACCAGAAAAGCTCCGCCGGAGGTGTGAGTTGAAGGCCTCCTGAACTTGGGTCTCCTCCAGATGTTCCCAGTTCACCCGCACTACACGTTTGGGCTTACCAGGTATGTCCAGAGGCTTCCACCGCCACTCGACCCAACTAACCACCTGATGGTGATCAGTTGACAGCTCCGCCCCTCTCTTTACCCGAGTGTCCAAAACATACGGCCTCAGGTCCGATGATACGATAACGAAATCGATCGTGGACCTTCTGCCTAGGGTGCTCTGGTACCACGTACACTTATGAGCATCCTTATGTTCGAACATGATGTTTGTTATGGCCAATCCATGACTAGCACAGAAGTCCAGTAACAAACCACCACTCCGGTTCAGATCAGGGGGGCTGTTCCTCCCAATCACGCCCCTCCAAGTGTCTCCATAATTTCCCACATGTGCGTTGAAGTCTCCCAGCAAGATTAAAGAGTCCCCTTCAGGTGCCCCATACAGGACTCTTTCCAGGGTCTCCAAGAAGGTCAAATACTCTGAACTACTGTTTGGTGCATAAGCACACACAACAGTCAGAGTTTTCCCCCCCCATAACCCGCAGGCGTAGGGAGGCGACCCTCTCGTCCACTGGGGTAAACTCCAACAAAGAAGCACCCAACCGGGGGCTTGTGAGTATCCCCACACCCACCCGGCGCCTCACACCTTGGGCAACTCCGGAGAAGAATAGAGTCCAACCCCCTTTTATATACCATCATGTTTAATCATGTTTTATGCCGTTTGCTAAGACTTGATAAGTCGCTCATAAAACACAGGAGGTATGGAAACTAAAAACATCATATATTTGGAAGATTTGGCAGCTGACATAACTCAACACATTAGTTTTATTTCCTTTAACTGATGGATATAGAGTTGCTGCGGGGGGGGGTTTGAGATGCACAGGCTGCAGTGGAGACGCTGCGCACAGCTGATCGACAACTGGAACACAAACCACCAAATAAAAAAATAAACATTAATTGACTCAACTCCGCAGGGATCCCCCGATTCTTTCTTACAGTTTCTCATCATGGGGGGGGAGGTCTCCTGTCCCCGGCACAAACACACTGACACACTGCTCGAGGAAGGTTATGTGTATTTTGCATAGGTATTTTGTCATTAACTTTTTTCGGACCACTTATTTATTTATTTTGGTGACGATCCGACCTCCATGCTGCTACTCTTTTTTATGGATGCAGTTTGAACCAATGTGATTTGTCTCCACCTTCCCAAAAGAACCAACATCTGACACGGTGTGAAATTTCTTTTTTAGATGTTCTGTCATCATTTCCTGCGATCTTCTTCATGCAGTCAGTCAAAATGAATATTAATACGGGGCGTTTCTTTGACTATTTATAGGCGAATATTGGCGTTACGTGAAGCCCGCAAAGCTGCGCCGCATTTCAAGTTGATTGTGATTTATAAAGGGAAACCGGCGTAGGACTGAGGGCGCAAGTCCTACACCGGTACGCAGTGTTTTATGAATCGGAAAATGTTTGTGCATATTTATTTGCTTTGTCCTACGTAAGCAACCTTCCCACGTGAATCCTACGCAAGGCTTTATAAATGAGGCCCCTGGTCATTATTATTGTGAAATACACCAGTTTCATTCTATAACAACCCTTCTAGATGTATTTATTCTCACAAGCCATAATTCAACATACATGCTGCCACCTGGTTTTATTTTGAATCTGTGTATATTACTTGGATACTCATTAAAACATCAGTGATGCAGTTTTCTTCCACAGTGCACAAAGCCTTTCCCCTCACTTTGATAAATGGTTTACAATGTGACATATTGAAAGCAGTTGAAATGAAAAGAAGAGCGAGTCGTGCGCACTGCTGCACACATCTTGATCTCTATGGTCTTAAAATATTTCCAAATAACACAACAAATAGCCAAAAGCACAATATGATTATGATTTTATCAGAACATTTCCCAGATGGCTGTGTTACGTAGGACAAAACCTCTCTCTGGTGTCCAGATTTGAATCTACATAAGCCATTCTGTCAATATGTTTGCACTGTACTGTAAAAAAAGCCAAGTCTGTGCCACGGGGAAAACATGTACCAGTTAATTCATTAGCCACACTTTGAAGTCCTTCTCACCTTACTCCTAAACTCCATCGATGGGTTTAGTTCAGCACTTGAGACGCAAATTAAAAGCAAAGACCTTGAGGCACAGGGGCCATCTGGTCCTGGCTCCACTGTAAACGTTTCATTAGCCAGATAATTATTCTATTCCCCACAGGCGTACAACTGCCTGAGGAATAAATGACCATGAGGCTGCAAACATGTACAGGTATACAAACATTAGGACTTGTATGTGCAATACCACAATAAAGAATAAATACGTGCTTTTATGTTATTTAATTTAAAAAGTAGTTTCCTATAAGTATTCAAAATGAAGGCCTTTTTTAAAGAAGTTACATTTGCATTGTACAGCTGAATCTATTTAGTCAATTAGTAGTTCCAAAGGAGAGTGCTGTCACGACATAGTATCTGAAAAGTAAAGTAACAGCTTCTCCAGTATGGGAGGAATTTCTTATAAACAGTCTAATATTTAAGAAAAACTATTCTGGATGCATTTTGATGCCAATTCAGTCCAATTAAACATGTATTTAATATAATTATTTGTATGATAACAATGGATCAAATGACTAAAAGTAATGAGAAAGGGTTCTTTTGTAGTGGCTCTACAGAGATTTTCTTTGAAGCTCTTTGTTTTGGTTTTATGGCTTGCAACTTTACTATTTTTGGTTCACTTTCATAGACACAGTGTGCAGCAGCAGCAGGCAGCTATTTCTGCCGAAAAAACTTAAATTAAAACCCACTGCTCACTACCGATTAGGCACCAAATGGCAGATTGGCGAAGTTAATGACTACCTGGTGAAGGTGGTGGAACATTTAGACATTTCTGATACATACACTCGTGCATTGGGCGGAACAAAAACAAAACTATAAAAGGTGGGCTCATTTTATAAAAGTGGAGAGAAACACAATGACACAAAGCCGATGTTGCTTTGTATCTGCTGGATGTGTAGCACTAACCCTACCCGTAAAACACCAGTTTGCTAATGTTATCCTTTAAAATTATATATTGGACAGTTATTTCAGCTAATTGCTTTGAACTTTTCAGAATTACCTAAATAACAGTTTAGCTTTGTTGTGGGCATACATGGAATAATTGATCCTCACTTACATTTCTATATTGTCGCTGTATTGTATAATTAATTGTATAATTATTTGTTTGTTTTACTTTGATGTGGGCTTATTATTATTTTTTTCCGTTTTATGTTTATTTTCATGGCTCTGTTGTTTAAGTTATATTGAGAAGCATTTTTTTTTTTTTTTATAAATGTTTTTGGTTTCGTCAGTGTGGGCATGTGCGGGTGGAGGGAGGGAGGGGGGAGTGTAGTGAGTGTACTGTGATATTACAATATATGAAATGGCATCGATTATTGTACACTATAATGAAATAAAAAGACTTAAATTATATATTGGAGTTATTTCAGCTAATTGTTTTGAACTTTTCAGAATTACCTAAATAACAGTTTAGCTTTGTTGTGGGCATACATGGAATAATTGATCCTCACTTACATTTCTGATTTGTACACACCTCTCTTAAGCCCCACGGACCCGTATCCGGGGCCGAAATCGCGTCATTTGCAGGAAACAACCTTTAAGGAACCTTCATATTTAATAAACTATGAATGTTTTATATCCATATAACGGAAAAAAACAAATTGAACTGATCTTTTTAATTTCTTTTTCAAAAAAAACTCAAAATGCTAACACTGACCCTCTGAATTAGCCCAGAGCGAAAAATGCTAACCTATTAATAATAATAAT